AATGATTTCTAGGGCCCTTGAAGAAAACGTGTGCCTCAGAAGATGCTGTCACACAAAGGTTCCCTGAATGTCAGAGCACTTACAGAGACTGAGAATCAAAAGGTCATCATCTGAGGGAGAAGATGCTCCTATCACCCCCCTTTCATGATCTTGAGCAAAGGGCTTTGTATTCATACCACCCCCCCTGCCAACATTTGGTTCCCAAGCTTGTTCTCTTGTATCTGTCTGCCCAGGTCCTGGAATGCAGCCAGCCAACCAACACTGAAAGGATGGATGCTAGCTGCAAAGAGACTGCTTGTCTGCTGTGTACAGAGAGGGTGACAGCAGGACACCACAAGAGCTGCTGGAGGGGAGAGGAAGTGGGCGACTGCAAGCAGGGTGGTCAGAAGAAATGCCTCAAAGATGCCCTGAGAGGCAACAAACCACAAAGCACCACATCTTTAAGTAGCCAAGAGGCAGAGCAGCCTGTTGAGAAGTGACCAGGAGCATGGGACTCCTTTCTGAAAAGAAGTCTCAGTCAGGAAGTGAGTCAAAGAAGCAGAACTGCCAAAGGAGGTAAGGCCCATTATATACTGACAGCAGTTCTGGTGACCAAAACAAAAGCCTACTTCTGTGTGGGCCCCTGTGGAAGGTTCTCCAGGTATTCCAGTGCCCCCAGGAGAAGGTTACATGGTTTAAGATGCTTTAGGGATTAAAGTGGTCTCAAAATGCTTCTGATACTATCCAAGTACTTCCTAGCTCATTTACCATACCTACACCACAGAGAGCATATGAAGTCTTTATGCTAAGGTCACTACATGCCTTGGAACAGATATATTTGCACCTTCGCATGACTTTGGAGCCCAAGAGCAAAACCATGACAAGCTGTTTCATATAACTTTTTACTTCATGCTCTTCCCCATAGGATTTGAGACTGTTTACAATAAACTTAAATGCAATAAAAGAACAAACTATAAAAACAGGAAAAGAACAAAGAGCAAAGTGGAGAAATCATTATGAAGATCTGACAAAAGAAGATAACAGCCCAAATTCTAGCCTTGGATGCTGAGCTCAAATCTAAGAGAAAACCCAGTAGGCTACATAATTCTTAATTTATACTGGGAAATAAAATAAACTTTTCCTTCCTTCTGAACTTGTACCTATATATTAGGCAGTACAGTACTGAGCACACATACAATCATTCATATATATATATATATATATATATATATATATATATATATATTTTACTGGTTTTCTTATAACACCTCCTCTCTTCCTCTAAAGCATATTTGCAATACTTTTAATGCCTGATTCTGTAAGGGTCCAGAGAAATGCAATTCAAAAATGAAACTTTCTGGTCATCTAGAAGCTTAATACAGGAACAGCATTTATAGGCTCATAAAGTCACTCTGTGCTTCAGATTGAGCCTGTTGACTTGCTCACCATTCAAAACCCCTTTTATTAATGTCTCCAGATCCAAATGAGTCAATTATTTTGAAAGATTTTTGCCAACTAAACAAATGTCCTTTTAAGTGTTTTTAAATGTTCATACTTAATTATGAACAAATGTTTCATTTTCCAACACTCTCTGAAATGTTGAAATAGCCTCCATTGCATTAAACTGTCCCTCAAGAATATCTCTTGACTCATCCTGACTTTTAGCAGAAGCCATTTTGCTAAATAACGTACATTTGAGGTAACTAACAAGTACCTGAACTCACTGGAATCATTGATTTACATGCCGTTGCTACAGACAACAGGTATGTGGACTATAAAGACTGTGTCATGCAAGCAGTACAGAATCTTGTATCAGTGTCCTAACAGAGGACCCTAGGCTTCACCTCCAAGCTGGCCAGATTTTTTTTCTGAACCCTGAGCAATCTTTTCTTGTAACAGTAAATTAGTGGTTGAAACTCCAGACTTGTGTATGATAAAATATGAAAGTTAGGACCTAGCCTGGCAGATGTCAAGTGGAGGGCTATCTTCCAAATGCCCATTGCATGTTTTATTCAAAATGAACTGCTTATTGGATGAGTGTACCAATGAAGATGAATACAAAATAAGTTAACTTAGAGTAGAGATTTACCGAATATTATCCAACTGGCTATTATTACAGATTTCAATGTGATTAAAACATAGATTATCCTCCTGGCAATGATTGTGCTTTGAATACAATTAGGGAAGAATGGAAAGGGCAGCTGGGTAGTGACACATCTCAGAGTATGCAAAATCAAACAAGCTGGTAAAGAAAAGGAACAGGGTGATTGTGGATCTGGCTGAAATGGGTCTCTACCCACAAAAGATAGAGTATGAAGAGGGTGGAAGGTGTGATTGAGAAATGAAGGAAAATAGAAAAATGAAGGGGTTTTTTCACAATCAGAGTTTTAAACAAGTGACACCAGGCTGCCGGATTTTCCTCTACCACATTATTTCTAAACCTAAATTGCTTCCGATGTTTTTTCCCTTCATAACACAAATTTTAAAAGATAAATTTAATTGGGATTCAGAGAAAGTTATAACAATGATTTCCTGATTTTAAATTCACATGTGTCCATACAATGTACAGATTCCAGTATGAGTCACCAAGGAATAATATCTTTTGTAATGATTTGTTTTCTAATCTTGAGCATAATTTTCGTGCTCAGTTATGCTTTTGCTTCAGAAGATTCGATGGCAAAGGAAGGGAGGAGGAGCTGGAGTCCAGCATTGAGAATGGCTTCCATCTGTCAGTAGCAGAAGAAAATCTGCCTTTGGTGAAATGAAGACACAGTATATTTTTACCTAGGCTTAGTTAACTCGAATGGGAGACAGAAAAGAAAGAAAGAAAAAAAAATAGAAAGAAAAAAAAAGCTATTTAGATCATGACAATAAAATTCCAAAGCAAAGCATCTTATTCTTCCAGTATCTATCCTTTGGGCTTGATGATATCCTAGAGCTAATAGTAGGTGGTGTGTGACTAGTCCTGTGCCTTGGGCGCCCACACACAGACCACCACTAAACAGGCTCTTGTACCTCACTAACCAACCTCTCACACTCTCCAGGTGGGCCTGTGATGAGGATGGAGACTGCAGAAGAAAGTTACTCCATTTCTCTGTACCCTCTCTGCAGTTAGAAGATAATTCCTCTATCAGCAAAGTGTGAAAGGCTGAACTGGGTCTGTGCATAGCAGATTTCAGGCCTTTCGTTTTCCTCAGACACTTACAGCCAAAGAGTGATTCCTCTCTCCTTCTAATGGAGGGTGATACTTGCTCAATTCTGAATTTCTGCAGGAGTAAAAAGATGTGCTGATACTTTTAAAGGAAGCAAAAAGTATCAGAGGCTGCTCCAACACATCTATGCTGCTAATCTCCTCACCAAACTTTCATTCAATTTTTTTTCTTTTACCAGTTACCTATCCAAGACTTCCTGTGTCCTCAGAGTTTAACTGTTACTAAGGGATGAGTGTCAAACAGTATGGTCTGCTGGCTAGCCACCCAGGCTGGACTATAGCACACAAGGCGATTATGATCTTGAGTGCTGGCCCTTCCTAGAGAAATGCTGATCACACAAAGCCTCTGTTTGTTAAATTCCTAGACAAAACACCTGTCCTCAGGGGCTTAGGTTCCCTCTGTGGGACTTCTTATCTTTTCTTAAATGTAATATTAGAGGTTAGATCATGCTGATGCTAGAAATTTGCATTCCACATAAATACCTTCATGTTTTGTAAACTGAATGCAATAGTCAGGTCAGGCATGTAATGAAATTAAGAAGTATTGAGCATCAACTTTGCAATAAACCTGCACTGGTTACCCTTTTATTAGTTTTTTAAAAATCAAAGTATTAAATAATTGTCAATTAAGATAAATGTATTTGCATGACATTGATAAAAGTGGTATTCATTATATATTATGATTAGATGCAATTATGCCTACAAGTTGTTTCATTGGGGGTTAATATTATTTTGGGAAGAGATGTCAATATACAAAGCAATGGCACATCTGTTCCCTACAAATTAGGGGTGACTTGTAGGCAAGCCTCCCTTTACATAGTTCTATGCTCATTAGCATTTTGATCTAATTAAATGATACTGCCAACTCTGGGCCATGGCCTGGTTCACTAGGACTTGTGTGGAGGGTGTCTTTTTGATGTAGCAAAAATTGCCTCAATAGCCCAGGGACTGTGTGGAAAGTGTCCTTGAAGCAAGTCATCCAGAGGTCTATGTTCTAATCGATGCACATGGGAAAAGGCTGAGCCCTTGCTGCCAGCAGCCATCTGGGTGGGGTGGGAGCTGTGGGAAGAACACACCTACTAATGGGAACAAGATAACCATCCAGAGAGTGAGCTATGCTGCTCAAGAATGGAGTTTTTGTGACTAAAACTGTGTGTGTGTGTGTGTGTGTGTGTGTGTGTGTGTGAAAACTATATGAGCTGTGAAGGATCTTAGTGGAGGTCAGAGTTCCGTTTTTGAGCTGGATCCGTCTACACTTCCTGGCATAAATCATCCCCAGCTAAAGGAACTGGACCCTCCGCTTTCTCAGACCCCTATTTTTGGGGCAGACTCAGTCTGACAGCGATATGAGCACCACAGAGAAGGCTCTCTGTAGAAATAGCAAGGAGGAAAAGACCCTGACCCCTCCAGCTGGCAGTTCTCCTGAGCTCCATCCTCCAAGCAAAGCTGGACCTTGGAAGCTAGACATCTCCTACCCTGACCACATTCAGAAGCCCTGCCTGGGGCCTCCATCTTAGTCTCATGGCCTCTGCACATGCCTCCCAGGCAGGCCCTCAGCTGGGAGTTCTTGGAAATCCTGAGTCAATAGGCGCTTCTGCTTAAGCATGGCAGATAGGTCTCTTTGCTCCTGAGTGGCCACCTCTTGCCCAGGTTGTTATCTCCTTCCAAAGGGATTTAGGACCATTACAAATCCAGACTTCTTTTCCGTTCCTTGGCACTTTCTTTCTTCTTCCTTTCTCTCTTCCTTCCCTCTGGTTCCCCTTCTCCACTCAACACACACTAGAAGTAGGGCTAGAGAAGCTTCTAGACTATGAAGGGAATGCCTATTTCCTCAGTGGCCCCCAAAGTTCCCTCTCTGGAGAACAGCTGGTCTCTGCAGTCTCTGGCACAGCCTCCAGGGAGGGGATCAGTCATGCACGTGGGAGGAAGGAGACTGCCACCTGCTTCCAGCTCCCCCAGTGTTGTAAGGGGTTGGTCCAGCAAGGAGCTGTTCCTAGCCATAAAAAGAAACCTCGAAATCCCAAGGGATCAGCTCAGTAATGAAGGAGTTACCCCAGGGTGTGGGGCTGGGGATATGGAAAGTGGCTGGACACTCTTCTCAGCTTGTCTGATAGAGATGTGACCTGGCACCACTGAAAAGCTTTAAGATTAATGGAGAAAGGGTGAAATCTGACAGCTTTTCCGCTGGTTTCAGTCCTCCTGGGTGGGCCGATTGGTCTTGAGTGTCACTAGCTACTTAATCTTGTGTATCTGAAACAGACTGGCATGTTTGGGGAGCCCAGCCTGCTCTGTATAGACATCAATTGAAGAGACAGATAAAAGGGAACTGCATTGAATTTCTCCTTTAAGCCTTTCACAGGGTACTTTCTGACTGCAAAATGACAAGTGACCCCAGCAGACGCACCCATCCTGTAGTGGATGCTCCTGCCACACCCATGCTGCTGCTGTGACTGCCCCAGTCCACCTGCTTCTGCTCTGTTCCATGCAGACGCCTGCTGCCTAGACCCTCCTTTTTGCTAGCTACCTCTTAGAGTGTTAAACTACAGAAAGGTTTGGGGGCTTGCTTACTCTTTATAACCATGGGTTATAATCATGGCTGATCTAATGGCAGAGATAGAGATCTACAAGCACAGATGTGGACAAGGAAAGGAAGGGAGAGAAAAATCCCCCAACACACCTGTCTCAAATAAATAGTGTTGAACAATTGTTTCATATCCAAAATATCTACCCAACCAAAGAGATTTATAATCAAAATGGTGCTTTCTACATCCCATTTTGTCAAACTGAACACACAAACATAATTCAGGTCAAGTGCCACCCATCAAAGAAGAATGAATAATAAAATGGCAGTGTTTGCCAAGGAGGTTACAATAGGCTGGTTTCTTATATTTTAAAGATCGGGATGTTTTCGTGGTTACTGTGTGACATAGCTCTGTGTCTGCTCTGGTTTGTTCTCAAAGAGTCTCTGACACATCTTAACACATGCTAACTTGTAAACATAATGGTTTATGAGGAACCTGCCATAAACTTAAATAATAGCTCCACTCAGAAATGAGCATCCATGGGTGTATTTCAGATCATCCATCCTAACCTAACTTTCTGATTTTTTAAACCTATGTGCATGGGTGAGTATATAATCGGGTGATGAATAGCTGGGGTTGACTGAAGCCCACAGACTATATGTTAATTGCCCTTAGCCTGGCATCTGGGAACAAGTGAAACTCTGTATTTTCAAACATGGGAGAAAGTCTCATCCTCTTGAGTCTGAAACTTCCCACATTACAAGTGTACACAGTGGGGCTGGGGATGTGGCTCAAGCGGTAGCGCGCTCTCCTGGCATGCGTGCGGCCCGGGTTCGATCCTCAGCACCACATACCAACAAAGATGTTGTGTCCGCTGAGAACTAAAAAATAAATATTAAAAATTCTCTCTCTCTCTCTCACTCTCTCTCCTCTCTCACTCTCTCTTAAAAAAAAAAAAGAAAGAAATTGTTTAAAAAAAAAAAAACAAGTGTACACAGTGTCTTCCTGCAGTGTGCATTTGGCTAAGGTGAAAGGTCTCTTTAAAGCAGAACATTTTCTAGTAAACATACACAAAACTCATCATAAACCAGACTATTTCTTCTGTTTGCCTAAGGAAGATGGAAGACATAAACGGAGCCCAACACCCCAGCAATATGTCACAGGTCTCTATATGCCTTTGAAATATCACCAACTATCTGGCTATTTGTAAATCACCATCTTGTCCTCTCCGGCCAAGGATGTCTGCTGAAAAGAAGACACAGGAAGTCACCGTTGGGCCCTAAAATGGAAAATGAGTACACCAAAGCAATCTCATTCCAATAGTCATCTCAAATATGAGGCTATGATTCATTTTGTAAGCTTCTTCCTCTTTTAAAGACACAGCCTCACATAGTATCAAAGCATCAGACCAGAACTGACTGAGATGATGTAGAGGAAATCAAAGCCAGTCTGTGTGGCCAGTGAAGAGATGGAAGGCCAATGCATCCCTGTTCCTCCCAGGTGTGGCCATGTTCCCATGTGTTCCCAGGGAACGGAGAAGTAGCTGGCCAAAGAGCATGGAAGGGTACAGGGTGCAGTTTTCATGAATACCAAGAAGTTAAAGGGAAGGAAGGAAATTCAGTACAAAAAGTTGAAATGGGACAGACCACTAAATAAAAAGGACCATTTTTCCTGGACATTGACTGTGGACATTTTTAACACTTATTGAGATATCTGAAATAATGCCTCTCCTCTTCCAAACAAAAAGAAAGGAAAAGGTATGCAGCTATGGACAAGAAACCTGAGAACCCACAGAATAGGAATCCCCAAGTTCCACATCTCAAATGGAGGTTCACACTCCTGAGGAGCCAAAAGATCCAAAGAACACTAAAGTCACCCTGGCTGTAATCCCTGGCAGACTTCAAGTGGTTTCTCCACAGCCATTGTCACGTTAATTTTAATAGGCTCTGCAAGTAGCAGATACAAATGTAAATTAAATTTTGGGATCCTGTAGGACCTCCTCAAGAGAATAAATCTACTTCAGACAGTTTGATGATTTTGAGGAATAAATATGTTAAGAGACAGAACTGAGAAGAAATGAATTTAAAATGCAGCATGAAAGGCTCTCAGCTCCCCAGTATGATATAATCCAGTAGGGCCATTTTTTATTTTCTTCTATTGTTTGGGTTCTTCGCAGCTGCCCAAGAGATTCTTCGGGAAAGCGAAACCCAAGGCTGCGCCACCCAGCCTGACCAAGTGCATTGGCACCGTGGACAGCAGAGCAGAATCCATTGACAAGAAGATTTCCCGATTGGATGCTGAACTAGTGAAGTATAAGGATCAAATAAAAAAGATGAGAGAGGGTCCTGCAAAGAATATGGTCAAGCAGAAAGCCTTGCAAGTTTTAAAGCAAAAGTGGATGTATGAGCAACAGTGGGACAACCTCACCCAACAGTCCTTTAACATGGAACAAGCCAATGACACCATCCAGTCACTGAAGGATACCAAAACTACGGTTGACGCTATGAAAGTGGGACTAAAGGAAATGAAGAAGGCATACAAGGAAGTGAAAATTGACCAGATTGAGGATTTATAAGACGAGCTAGAGGATATGATGGAAGATGCAAATGAAATTCAAGAAGCACTAAGTCGTAGCTACAGCACCCTAGAATTAGATGAAGATGACCTGGAAGCAGAGTTGGATGCACTGGGTGATGAGCTTCTGGCTGATGAAGATAGTTCTTACTTGGATGAAGCAGCATCTGCAGCTGCAATTCCAGAGGGTGTTCCCACTGACACAAAAAACAAGGATGGAGTCCTGGTGGATGAATTTGGATTGCCACAGATACCTGCTTCATAGACTTTCATCACTGAAGTACACATGTAAAATAAACACATATTGTGGGACTAGGAAATATATCCAGATTTTCCATAACAGATTTAAGTTCCTTTCCCTTCTTTGAAGGAAAGGTTAATTACACTGCTCTTTTATTTTTTTTCCGTTAAGAAATTCATTGCTTGGGGAAGCTTTCTTATACTAAAATTTGATTCTTTTTCTCTTATGAAAAATTAACTTAAAAGTATCTTTGGCTTTTGTATGACTCATTTTCACTCATTAATAACAATTTGAAATAAAACCAAGGATATGAAATCTTAAATTTTGTGACAGTGTAACTCTACAGTCTCAATATGACCTGATAAATTGATGAAGTGAAAATGAGATTATTGAGACTGTTTTTTTTTAAAGAAAGAGTGAGAGAGGAGAGAGAGAGAGAGAGAAAGAATTTTTAATATTTATTTTTCAGTTCTCGGCGGACACAACATCTTTGTTGGTATGTGGTGCTGAGGATCGAACCCGGGTCGCACGCATGCCAGGCGAGCGCGCTACCGCTTGAGCCACATCCCCAGCCCCTGAGACTGTTTATATTATGATTCAAAACCATTTTCTATTGTGGCATATAGGTGGCTCAAAGTAATGGCTCTTTTGATAGGTTTTGTTGTGTCTTGTGAGCAAATCATGTGTCCAGTGTTGGAATGGAATTGTCGATACAGTATCACAAGTGGATATTTTGACTTTGTCATTCCCTCAGTATTACAGCCTGACTTGTAATCAATAATGAATATTTCTTGATATTTAATGTATAGAGAACATTTATTTATACTCAAAAAATATTTTTCAAAAGGAAAAAAAATCCAGTAGGCACATGAAGACAACCCCTTGCTCACAAACATCTTACCAATTGGCTTCTTGGGTGCTTTGAGATTAGGATTCTGTGTTACCTAGAGTCCCCATTCAAAGAGAAATAACAGGGGGCTAGGGGCAGGGTAATACATTCATTGATACAACATTTTTCTGAGTACCAGATACTGTACTGGGGATACTTTAATGATCACAATAAACAGTTCTTGCCTTTAGGATTCCTTATGACTATAGGGAATGGGAGTCAGATGTAAGATTAGAAACTGTATGTCTGAAGAGCATTTGAAAAAAGGCAGTACAGGATGTTGTGGGAATGTAGGCTAGGGGTCAGAGAAGGGTGTCCTGATGACAGCTGAGTGACAGTCATGGTGATGTTTCAGAAGGAACAGAGACTCAGGGCAGGGAACATTGCAGGGTGCACAGGGAACTGAAAGGAGACAAAGTGAAAAGAAGAGTGGTGTGGCATAATGGAGGCCAGAGGGTGGGCCAGTTGTGGCATAAGGATCTCGATTCTGAGAGAATGGGAAGCCACTGAAGGATACACTTTAAAAGGAGAGTGACACGTTCAGATGTAAACTTCAGAGAGATCCACTGTGATTGTTGGGTGAAGAATGTTGAATTGGGGTAAGGAGGATTTTAGGAAACAGGTAGCAGAGTCTTGCAGAAGTCCTAGTGAGAGGCAATGGAGGATGGGACCAAGGCCATGGTGGCAAGATTGGAGAGAGGCAGGCATATCCTTACACCTAGATACGTTTACAGTGAAGACCCTTAGGGCCCAGAGACAGGCGGAGCAGGGAAGGGAGCTATGAGGCATCACACCCTACCTTTTGAAGGTAGGACTTGACACATCCATTTGACTGGAACAAGGAGAGTGAGGAGAGAAAGGTGGTTAGAAAGAAATGCCCTGAATATAACCAACCAACTTCATGATTGCCAACACTTATGCTAAGAGAAATTTCATTATAGTAGAAAAAAATTCTGCAAAGCTTCCTTTAAAAGGGGAGCCTGTATATATTCCAAAAATGAAATGACTTGTGAATTTTAATTTACATGCACCCATTCAGAAAAGTACCTATTTCATAGCTCCAAAGAGCAGCTGTACATATGCATAAATGTCAAAATCCTATAAATGACTGTATTATGTATACTATGTATTCCATATCTGTATTCCATCCCTTCCCTTAACACCAACAACTAGTAGACTTTTTTCTGCCGTACTTCACTTCTGGGTCTAACAGTTGAGCTATAGGTTTACATTAGGAGTTCACATTTTAGACTAATTTAGTGTCTCAATCTTGTTATTTCAATCATGCAACTTATTTGAATATTACACAAGTGAAATGTAAAAGCAATTGAATGTTGTTTCCATGGCAGTCAGGTTGGAAGCTTGAAAGGATTTAACAAAGGCGAGTCTCTAAATAAAAAATTGCTGTCAAACTAGACATGGGCAAGACAAATATAAAGGATTAGAAAGGAGAAACATAGAAATAAATATATTGTTTATATTCTAGAGCCTTAAAGTTTTGATCCACTTCAATGAAAGAGAACCAAAAATTGTAAGTGAAGCATTAAGGGCATATGCAAGAAACATGGTATAAAACCTGATCAGAAAAACCTATATAAAATGAAAACCTGTGTTATGATGTACTCCGTGCAAATTCTATTTTTAAAAATATTATTTTAGTTGTATATGGACACAATATTTTATTTGCTTATTTTTATGTGGTACTCACACATGCTAGGGAAGCACTCTACCACTGAGCCACAACCCTGGTCCCAGCAAATACTATTCTAAATGTCAGAAATAGTTGAATATTAGCAAATTCATGGGCTTATATGAATATTTTAAGTAAAAACATTGAAGATATACAAATATCCATATATTCATATATATGGATATATATGTATGTATATGTATTTTATATGTATAAAGATATATATGTATCTTTTCCTATGTAACTCCCCTCATAACACAATGTTTTCAATCATCTGAGTACTCGCTATTCCTAACTATAAAAGAAGCTGATAGGCTTCTACTGTTCTGCCAATATGGCATGGCCATACTTCAAGTACAGACTGCTGGTTTGCTAGAACAGTGTGGGAAACTGAAGAGCATCAGAATCCAAACTCATCTAGAAAAGAGACTATTTTGTCAACCACACCTGATAAGATTTCACCAGTAACTAGTAAGGAGGAATTGGAAACTCTTACCAGAGCCCCTGTATATCATCTATAGTCTATTATATAAACACACTGAACATGTTTAAGTTTATTGCATAGTAAACCATACACAGTTCTTATTTCATACTGTTTAGCCATTCACATTAAATCCTTTTGATTCTTCATAAAGTCCCCAAAGAAGGAATTTCTGCAGCTGTTGTTAGTGATAGTGGTGTGCACCCAGGGATCCTGCTTGGAGTCGGCTCCCAGGCAAGCTGTCTCCTTTCAGACTCTGCTGTAGTAGTCAGTTTTTAAAATACACAGGGAGAATGGCCCATTGCAAAGAATTGCCATTTAAAGGCTCAACTGGATTCTAGTGATAATTACTTTCATTTATACTGAGGTCTATGGATGGGATTCAAGGGCACTAGGAACACTTGGAAACTGTTACATATGTATATATATATATATATATATATTTTTTTTTTTTGCGGGAGTTGGGGTGAGGGGTTGGGGGATGTTTAGTTTTCAGCAGATTCTCAAAGGCTCCCTTAATTCCCCAAGAGATCAAAAACATTGGTATAAAAAAGAATGAAGTACTGATACATGCTACAACAGGGATGAACCTGGAGAACTTGCTGAATGAAAGAATGTAGTCACAAAATATCACATACTACCTGTTTCCATTCATGTGCGGGGCCAAAACAGGGAAGTAAATACACAGAGTAGATTAGTGGTTGCTTAGGGATAGATAGGTTGGCAGGGAGGACAAGCAGAGAAGGGGAGGATAACTCAAGGACACCGGGTTTGTGATGAACACGTTCTAAAATTGTTATGATTACAATTATCCAAGAATATGCTAAAAACCATGGCATTGTATACTTTAGATGAATTGTATAGTATTTATTTATTTTATTATTTTTTTTATTGTTGGTCGTTCAAAACATTACACAGTTCTTAATACATCATATTTCACAGTTTGATTCAAGCGGGTTATGAACTCCCAACTTTAACCCGTATACAGATTGCTGTATCACATCAGTTACCCTTCCATTGGAATTGTATAGTATTTAAATCATCGCTTCACAAAACTAATTTTGTAAGAAAAAGAATCATTGGTACAGATTTATCAGTCTGACAATCTTGTTCCTATTTTTTATTTCATGAGATGTTATTAATCCCCATTTACAAATAAGTAAGTAAATATCCATGAGTCACTACTAAGTGACCCTCAGAGTCTTCTGAAGCCAAGTTCATTTCCCACCATGCTACAACTGTGTCTAATGACCGAACAGGGTGAAAAGAACACAGATTGGGCAGTCTATGCCACTTGCTAGCCATGTGATTTTGTACAGGTGCTTAATCCTACTGTTCAGCTCTTACTTTTGTGTTCTGAAATAGAACATTATCTGAGCGTACTGAGAATACTACTGTAAAGAGTTACCAAGACACTGTATAAAGGACCTGGCAGCATACCTAGCAGACGGTAAGCCCTCTGCAAAAGGTAGCATGTTTTTATGATCCTGTGTGTATTGTGTATTATTGCTTTCAAGTGACAGAAGCTCAGTTTAACCTAGTTGAAGAAAAGAAGGAAATGTATTAATTCTTTATAGCTTCAAGAGCAGCCATAGCCAGGGACTTAAGTAACCTCTCAAGATACTCTGTCCCACTCCTTCTGGCTTCATCTGCAGGTCAACTTTTCACATGTAGAGACAAAGTTGTCAAAGTTCCAAGTTCAATTGTATCAGTTTAGCATCCCAGGTGGAAGAGTTAAACTCTTTCCAGATAGTACAAACAAAAGTCTCAGGGAAGAGTCCCATTGGCTTGGCTAAGATCCTTTGTCTGTCTTTGAGCCAACAACTATGGCAAGGAGGATGGAAGTACAATACTTGGCCAAGCCTGAATCATGTGCCTTATTTGTGGGTAAAGAACAAATCAGCCCCTACCCCTCCTTCACCCCAATAATATATCTGCTACATATATAAAGATATTTTTTTTCTTTCTCAGGGTAAGATACCTTTTCAGATTGAATGGCAAAGCAAAGAAATTACAATTCAACTTTGCATTTGCTGCTCAACTACTCCATGGGAGGCACTTATCAATTTGTCTCTTTCTACATTCTATGCATGTGTGTGTGTGTGTGTGTGTGTGCATGTTTGTGTGCACACAAGTTCTCAAACACATGGAGAGCCTGCCAGATGCCAAGGCTAATGAGAATCTTCTATAATCAATTATACACATTTCATAACAAGAGTAATCCCTTCCTGATGGCTTCAACTAGTTGTTGAAGTCTAGAGG